GCCCTATCATATTGCCCTGGTGTGTTCTTTTTCTTATAATACTTGTCATTATCCATAAAGTTCAACCCATGGGACCACTGTACCTCTGTCCATTAGTTCAGGTTTCATGGGAGAGGGGCTTGGTTTCTCTTTCCTGACACTGACTCCCCAAGACACCAGACAATGCCTTGCACAGTGTAGATACTCAGTTAATACTTGCTGAGTGGATTAACAACTCCCTCAAAAACTAAACTCTACAGAGCGCCCACTAAACTAGAGGTCCTTCCTGGAAAGGGCCAGATCTGCCTTCACCTCTGCCGCTGTAGGATGAAAGCAGCAAGAAGAGTCTGTGAACGGGTGGGTGTGGCTGTGTCCTCATAACACTTATTTACAAAGGCAGCAGTGGGGCCACAGTCTGCTAACTCCTGCACTACCCTAATCTAAGTCTTTGATGCCACTCATGTCGACAGTTTGTATGTGCACAGTTTTTGCTATTGCAAGGCATCTTGCAATTATTTGAAGCATTTTTAGTAGGCAGCAAAATGTCCTTTCCCCATGTTCCAGCCAGCAAAAGGAAGCAAGAGGCAGATCACTCAGCACCAGGGAGCCACCCCAGAGCAGGAAGTGGGAGAAGATGCTGCAGCTGCCGGCTCCTTTCCCCTTGCCAGCCGCCTTTTTGGCAAAGACCAGACAGGGAAGAGGCACAGATTCCCCACAGACTTGAGGACTGCTTGTTCCAATGCATTCATCTTATCTTACAAAATCTTCCCATTCTTGGAAGCAAAACAGTGAAATATTTGCTCATCTAAAAGGATATGTAAATCGGCAGCATCTTAACCAAGCCCAATGGAAGTCACAGCACAGTGGGTGCAATTAAAATGCTCTCATCCAACCAGGATACCACCCCTTACCACAATGGATAGACACCTGTCCTCACTGAGAAAGGTGAAAGATGAGGTCACCTCATACTGTCCCCCATTCACCAAGTTCCAGGACTAGAGAAAAGTTCCTCGGCCCTAGCACAGAGTAGGACCACAGTAAAACGAGTTTCTCCCTTCTCTAGAAATATCATGGTGACCATCATAAGGTCATGGGCAATTTATTACTGAAGAGATAAAGTCAAAAATCCTGGGTGGCTTTGGCCAGCCTTGTCATCAAATTTCTCAAGGAAGAAGAGCCAACTTTTGTTGGTGCTGCCCACGTGAGAGCACAAGATCTCGGCGTGATACGGCACCCTTGGCCATAGAAGCTGCCTGTTGCACAGGCATGGGTGCTCATGGGGGAGGCCCCAGGGATCGTGCAAAGTCTGCCTATCAGTCCTCACTTTCCCGGGGCTGACATACGGTGTTATGAGATGGAAATTCTTCTGCGGGCCCGCAAATGCTGCTCGACTGACTCCCTTCCACAGGTAGAAAAAAGCAACCAAAGCCAAAAGCCAGCTTCCCCCTCTGCTCTTGCCCCTGAGCAAACAATCCTGGCCCTGGTGTGGAGGATGTTTCTGGCAGTTCCTAAAAAAGTGGTCTGAGAACTGGCACAGAGCCTTGCTGGAGAGAACAAGCCAACACACAGAGCCGGGACAGAGACTGAGCCTGGATCCCTCTGCACAGAAAAGCCAGACACTCATGGATTTCCAATCCAATTCCAATCAATGAAATGTTCTGCTGTGTGTTTTGTTGCTATTTCTACACAACTAGAAATGTATCTGTTGCAAATCTCTCCACGACTGTCCATTCCTGTGAAATTCCAATTACGTAGTGTTGCAGAAGTTAGCCCAAATCTTGAGGGCCTAATACAATCATTTATCCTATTCACAGATTCTGAGAGTCAAGAATTTGGGCAAAGCTGGGCTGGGCAGTACTGACTTGCGTTCTCGGGAGTGGCAGCAGCAAGGAATGGACTGCCGCTGTAGTCATCAGGGGCCCGACCAGACCTGGACAATCCACTTGTGAAGTGGCGCATTCATGTGGCCAGCATGTCACATGGGCTGGTGGCTAAGGGCTTTGACCTCCACGGGGAACAGCCTCATCATGAGCATCTCCATGCAGGCAGTTGGCTTCCCAGCAACTCAGTGGGAACTGCAGTGCTGCCAGGGTCTAACTTGAGGGCTTATGTATCCTAACTCACCTCTGCCACGTTCCACTGATCACACAGGGACAGTCCCGATTCAGTGTGGGTCTTAGGGGACCAGCATGAGCCTCGTTACCTGGCATAGCATGCACCATGTGCTAGCACTAGAAACACAACCCTCACCCCGGCAAGCACGCAGACTCAACAGCATGCAGCCAAGCAAATCCCCCACCAGACTGGCCACACTCTGCTCAAGGGTCTCCAGCCTTAATGGAAGACACCTGCCTATGAAAAAAACTGGAGGAGTCTACCACGTGACTGGAAACAGTGCTTATGGTCAGGGTATAATCAGAGGTCCATCATCTGAGCCCCACCTACGACCTAATCCTTCACTGCACAGGCTGCTCTGCGTCACTGTGCCATCACTAGCATTACTAGTTGGTGCCTGCATAACATCCATTTTCTAAACCTCTGAACCACCCCCAGATCACATGACTACACTGTCTCTTGTGACTTGACCAGGGAAGCAGATGACAGGATTTTGGACATTACTTAGATCTGGGCTCAGATTCCTGCTCTGTTACTTGACAGCTTTATAAAATCTCTGAGGCTCGGTTCCCTTCTCTGTGAAGTGGGGTGGAGATATCCCCATTCTGTGGGTCATACGAAGTCCACAGATGATGCATGAAGGGCCCAGCGCAGGGCCTGGTGCACAGTAACTCTAACTGGCTAATTGCTGCTGCTGGTTGGTTTCTTTTGGGGTGCGGGGGATTGACCCAGGGCCTTGCTCATGCTAGGCGAGTGCTTTACCAATGGGCTACATCCTTAACCCTTTATATTATCTTTAACTCGAGACAGGGTTTTGCTTAGTGATCCAGGCTGAATTCAAACTTGCAGTCCTCCTGCTTCAGCCTCTCAAGTAGCTGGGATTACAGGCATGAGCTAGAAATCTTAATCCAGGAAGGAAGGCCATCACTCACCATCATCTTCTCCTAGTCAGAACCTTAGAGAGGTAGGCACAAGGCTGCCCCTTCTTTTAGCCCTCTCTCCAGCCCACACGTCTACCACGTGCCACCCACTGCAGCAGCCCAGCACTCCTCGCTGGTTGGCAGACAGAATCCCAAACACAAAAACTCCGGGGAAAAAAGGAAGGAAGGAAGGAAGAGAAGGAAGGAAGGAAGGAAGGGAAAGAGGATGAAGCTGTCGCCTGGGAATGGCTCTTCAAGGTGTTAGGGCCGCTTTTCGGCCTTAACAAGTAAAAGTGTGCAGGCTGGGTGTGCTGGTGCATGCCTATAAACTCAGCAATCTGGGAGGCCGAGGCTCTGAGTTCAAGCTCAACTTGGGGGAACCGGCAAGATCCTAGCTTAAAATAAAAATGGCCTGGGGATGGGCATGAGGGGAAAAGGCTTTGAATTCAATACCAAGTATCTGCCCTGCCAAAGGAAATGCAAGCAACAGTATTCTCTAAGAATCCACAATTTCATAGTTATTTCAATTCTTCATGAATAAAAATCTGTCTCATACCCTATTTGCCTCATTCAAAATCCTGTAATAACAGAAATAATTACTGTCTACAGCAGGGGCACAATTTAGTCCTCAGAGTGCCAGAAAATGCAGAAAAGTACACACAACAGGCTAGTCCAGTCCCAACTTTCAAGTGGACTGAGAAATGGCACCCAAAGTTCACCTATGCCGAGGGTGTTGTGCAGCCAGTGACGGGGACAGGCTGCCACTCAATGGTAGCGTTTGGAAGTGGACAGAGCGCACTGACATTTAGTTGTGGCTTTCACATGCTCTTAACCTTTACACTATATCAATAAAAAGCCCCATTAACATTTAAAGAGACATTTTCTGGGGTCCACTTGGAGTTAAGGGTTAGAAAACAATCCCGCAAATGGGTTAAGGCTCACACGGGTCCCCAATTCCCCACACAGCTCACTCTCCTCGCGCGTCAGAAAGCAAACCCACAAAGTGGTCCGCACGCCAAGAGCCACTGGAAGCACAGCACCCTCCAGGTGGCCCCTGAGCCAGGCGTCCAAGCTGAGCCTATTGCTAGTGGTGGCGCCAAACAAGACCCCTGACCTTGTACTTCCTCTCCACCGACTCTGAAAACTCAGCTCAAGAATCCCATCCAGGAGCCTCGCCAGTGGGATCCAGACCCTGCCCTGAGCCCTCACACCCCTGAGCTACCCCCACTAGAGCCCTACAATCATCACACCACCGCTGCGGCTTCTGGGTTGCCTCCTACCCAGCGATGGCACATGCCCACCTCAGCAGTCCCCTGATCCTTCACAGAATGCCCATGGATTGCTGAGCCCTGGGGTGCAATGAGGGACAAAATGAGGCCCATCCTCTCCTAGCTCCCTTGATAGTGTCCTCAGCCCTGCTCTGTAACCCCAGGGCCTATCCTATGTAGTGTTTAGTACGGGGTGAATGCACAGATGTATTAAGAACTAAGCCCGTGGTGTGGAAATGCCAACGACACCCGTTGATTCAAGCTGGCAGTGCCTCCAGGACCCACTCATCCTACAGACCCAATTCCATCTGGCCAGCTGTGTCAGTTTTCCAAACCTGAAGTTGCTAGGTGAGAGTGTGGCTTAGCACGTGCCATCCCCAAGTCCACAAAAACAAAGTACTCGAAACTTAGCTTTCACATAAGGCTTTCTTTCTGGCCTTTCTAAAAACCAGCTGCTCATTTCTGCGGGAATCGGTGAGCTAGAACTGAGGGCCTGTACTTCCTGCAGATGGGGCACCTCTGATTTGCCAGCCTTGGCGCCCTCCTCCATGGCTGGGGCCAATGACAGCTGTCTGTCCTATCATCCCGCTGTGCTGATGTTTCCCTGCCCCGCCAGCTCTGCTCAGGACTCCTGACTACTCTTTATGCATCTCAGTGTGTGACCACAGCATCAGGCCAATGTCAGCCAAGAGGCGCATCTGAAATGAGCTGCAACACAAACAAACGGGTAATTTTATTGATTTTTCGCCTCCTAACAGATCCTCCTAGGAGTGGATACGGGTTGCTGCAGTTTCCAGCAGGGATTGTGAATGCAAAGGGAAATTTAGGGGAAAGATACATCCTGAAGGTAACTTCACTGTGGGGCCAAACGCCACGTTTATGGGATCTCTTCTTGCACACAAAGACTGAAGATTAAGGATTGTGTTCTCACACCATCAGCACAACTTAAATATTTCTTTGACAAAAATAATAATAATAAATTATCTTCAACTCAGAAAATAAATTGTGTTCAGCAGAGTGACAGGAGGGTCCATCCATTCATTGCATTGCACCATGGGGCCACACAACGGGGAGGACAGGCACGGGCCGCCTCACCGACAGGAGGACACAGCCCACAGTGGGCTGGAGCTAGCTGATGCGTGCCTCTGTCCCGTGGCAGTGCTGGCCCTGGCTGTGGCCTGTCCCAAGGGAGACTGCAGCTGTTCCCTTTCTCCTCATGTGCGCCTTGTCTTCTGTTTCTTGGCTTGTCTCTTTGCATCCTCCGGACCGCTGTTGTCAGAGGCTGCCTGGCCAAGGGCACGGACTCCCTGCAGCCGGCTTGTCAGCTGCCACAGCAAGGGAATGAGCTGGAAAGAGACAGTGTGTGAGAGACACCAGAAGCCCTCTGCCCGATGGACAGTGAGTTCCACTTGTCAACACCCATCCCCTTTTTCCTTTTTTCTCCTTCCATGTTGCTGGGGATAGAATCCACAGCCTTGAACATGCTAGGCAAATGCAGCACAGCCACAGCCCCTGCCCAACACTTCTTCAGGTACAGCCAGCGCCCGCCACATGCTGACGGGATGATGATGCCAGTCCTCAGAAGGCAGGCTTCTGCGCCAGAGATGCCAGGACAGGTTGGCCTCTTGCCACAAGCAACACATCCTTGAACATGCTCCATGCTTAGGTATGAGAACAGACACCACTACAGTTTCTGCCCTTGAAAGAATTGGGGATTGTGAGGCCTTCACAATCCCTTTAGCCCTAAAATCCTGTAATTTCTGAGACACTGACATCCTCCCACTGTCACTGCTACAGCTATGAGGACTGCTCTTTGACCCCTGCCTTCCCACGAGGCCTTTGCCTTGCCTACCTTGTCGTGGTTATAACCAGCCAGGAGGACCAGCAGGGTCAGTGGCAGGGCTATGTACGATCCTTGTGCGATGTCTTGCTCAGGCAGTTTCCTCTGCAAACAACCAGAGCACCATTACCCCCTGGTAAATTCTCTCACTTTCTATTATCCACCAAAACCCACAGCCATGACCCACCCATTATCCAAACTAGCTACCCAAGGACAGCTAGGGATCCCTCTAGATCCACATGCTCACTCTCCAAAGGAAACTGAAGAGATGCAGGTAAGTCCTCTGCTATTCAAGCCCTTATTACCTGCTCCTGAAACTCAGGCACAAAGAGGCTCTAGGAATAAGGAACTCCTCTCCCTCTGTGTGCTCACCACCCAAACTAAGGAAATAGCAGATCTAGAGAACAGGAATTCTTGCTGCTGAGAAGCAAATGGGTCTCATTTTGTTGAGTCCCAAGGTGCATGCAGGAGTGGAGAATCCACTGTTTCATGTCCAGGGCACAAATGACGATGAACAAGCTGGTCCAAGTGAGGAAGTGAAACTGAGACTGCTATTCCTATCCCAGTGGCCATCTTCTCTTTTTTCAACCTTTCCTAGACCAACCAGAATAGAAACGACATTTCTCTGCCTCCCTTGCAGCTAGGTACAGCCATGGAACTAAATTCTGGCCAGTAATACATAAGCAGAAGTGACAGGAATAACCCCCATGTGTATACTGGTTTGGAGAAGAGCAATATACTAGAACAGAGTGACAAGGGAGAAGAGCCTAAGCCCTGGAGCTACCACAGCACCCACGGAATGCTCTTGCCTGGAAATGGTTATGAGAAAGAGACTGCCATCTCACAAAAGCCTCTGAAACGTCAGGGGTCTCTAACAGTAAAGGAATATGTATACCCCATTAGCCCACTTTTAGTTTTTTAATGAAGATTCCTGCCTGAGCTCTACTCTCACCCTCTACAGAGTTCAGGTCAGCAATCCTGAGCTGGGCGCTAGAGTCCATTTTTGTGGTTGCTGATGTGTCTATTTAACCTGCTGCACACTAAGCTTTGAAAATCACTGATATCAATGATCTCACACGTGGGAACACATGCAGGTTTTGTTTTTCAACTGTGGTTTACAGTCTGTTGGGCACTGGATCCAAGAAGGGGCCATTATTACTAATGGCTGATAAATGGAGCAAGTTTGTTTTAGTCTACCAGCATCCTGTCCATCTGAATCATTTTCTCCCTTGCAATTTATTTGTCAAATAATCAGATTCCATGGTGGTGGCCTTTATTCCCAGTGGCATCTGCATGCTCCCGTGCCCTCCTCATCCTGTAAACTGGTCGTTGGATCTAGAGTTTGAGCAGGTCGGGTATCAGGTATGCCCGATGGAGGGATGAACACTGCCAATGATGGGGAGTGGCATCCTCCCAAATGCCTGATGAGCCCCGATAGGAACAATTCCAGCCTTCATCACCAGTTTCCCACCAGCAGGCACAAGGGCTTGAAAAACTAGAAAAGCATCTGGGGAAATCCAGACCATAGAGCCCAGAATCAAGAATGGAAAAGTGACAAAGCACCAGGAGCCCTTGAAACATTGTACTCCAACCCGCTACCAGGAGCACAGGCAGGGTGGATGGTCCCACTCCTGCCACCCAGGATTTAAGCCCCCCTCTTCCTTACCGTGGGATTGAAAATCAGGGTGATGTGTTTATGGTAGCCCATTGCAGTGAAAGAGACTTGAGGCAATACGTAGTCATATTGGGACCTGGGGAGCGTGGAGTCCAGGAGCACAACATAATTCTGCACACACAAAGGAACAAGTTATTTTTGTAACAGACAGTCTGGCAAAGCAAATGCAAAGTAAAACTTGGCATGTGGCTCTGATGTAAAGCAATTTATGTTGTTTAAAGAAATCCCAGGGCTGGGGATTTAGCTCAGCGGTGCCGCCGCCTGCCTTGCAAGTGCAATGTCCTGAGTTTGGTTCCCAGTACAAAAAACAAAACAAACACAGAAAAAAGAAAAAGAAAAAGAAATCCCCAAGTCTGCACATCCAAACCAAGGTGGCTCACTTCAGAGTATGTTCCTGGTGGCTCTGAGACTGTGTCTTCTTAAGGCTGCCAGGGTCGGTGGCACTTTTTTAATCAATGTATTCAACCCTGACAACTACTGTCCTTTGTGGGTGTAAAACACAACTGCTATCATGGGCCAGTTCTGATGAGGGTGGCACACAATCAAACTGAGAATGGTTTCCATTCAGTGAAGCTCACTTCTAAGGAGCACTGCTTAAGTGGCTTATAAGCTGCTAAGTTCTGAAAACACAGGACAGCCACAGTTCGGGGCACTGAGAGTCAACCAGGGGCCTGGCATCTGGCACAATGCACTGGGTCCAGGCCCACTCTGCTCTCCATCGTGGGAAGATCAGGATCCCTGACCCCATTTTACAGATAAAGAGAGTGAAGCCTGAAAGGTGAATAGAAACTTGCCCAGCGCCCAGGGCCAATCAGCTGGCCAGATAGTGGCACAGGTGCTGTCTCAGCTGGGAGGCAGGATGTTTCTACATGGCTGTGGACAGTGACTACTTCAAAAGCACCATCAGGAGATTGGGAAAGGAACCTCAAAATTCCATGACAACGTGTTTCATTATTTTACAGAGAAAGGACATCATGCATCATCCCCATGAAGACAGCAAGGAGCCAGGAGAGGCACCAACACACCATAGGCGCAAGATGGGCCTTCTCAGACAGAGATCACAGAAAAAAGACAGATTCTCTGCAGTCACCCTGCCCCCAAATACAATAGTGGGCTCTGTTCAGTTAGAATTAACAATAAACACTCTTCACTCAGCAAATGGCATCCAAAATACTGCCTAAAAACTGTCTAATTCTGGAGTGGGAGATGGACGTACAGGTCCAAGAAGCCCAAAGGACATCAAATCAGTAGAACCTACACAATCCAATGCGTAATTAAATTGTCAAAAACAGAATTTTATGGGCTAGAAGTGTGGCTCCATGCTAGAGCTCTTAGCCAGCATCCATGACGTTCTGGGTTCAAGCTCCAACAGCACACAACAACAAAAAATACTGCAAGACTAGTCACTGTCAAGAGACGCCCCATTACAAGACTATCAGTGGATTTTGCAGCAGAAACATTACAGGACAAGAAAGAATGGGACAGGGTGGGGATTTAGCTCAATGGCACTGCGCCTGCCTGGCAAGTACAAGGTCCTGAGTTCAATCCTCAGTACTTGGGAAAAAAAGAGAAAAAATGGGACAATATGTTCAGAGAGCTAATAGTAAGTGATGTCCAACACAGGCCCTCATTTAATCACAGTATTTCTTAGGGCCGGGGATTTAGCTCAGTGGTGCTGCCACTAAGTTTCTTATACTACAGATTACCTACTGTGCAACGACTAAAAACCATGTTACAGAAGAGTGTGGTGGAACACGCCTGTACTCTCATCTGTTGCAGGCTGAGACAGGAGGATCCCAAGTGTAAGGCTAGCCTAAGTAACTTAGTAAGGCCCTGTCTCAAAACAAAGCTTTTTTTAAAAGGCTGGGGAAGGCTGGGGATTTAGCTCAGTGGTTCTGCCGCCTGCTTCACAAACGCAAGGTCCCAAGTTTGATCCCTGGTACCAAAAAGGGGGCGCAGGGGCGCTGGGGATGTAACTGTGTGGAAGAGGCCTTGCCCAGTATTGCGCAAGGTTTTGAAATCGATCCCTAGCACCAAAAAGTAAAAATAAATAAATAAAAGACTTAATGATAGAGGGCAGACATGATACAAATGTTCAATGAAAAGCACATGTTACAAAGTTATTGTCGTTACAATAAATTTTTTTTATATTCCTACATACACAGACTCATGGAATAAAAAGAAGGCCCACAGGTTACCAATGAAAACATGAGCGTGGTTATTTCTGAGTGATGGGGTTGTGTCTGATTTTTCCCCACCTGTAGTCTTTGTAAACAGAGAAGCCACTAAGAAAGTAACCCTACAGAGCCCACCAGCCCCTGAGCACCCCGAGCACAAGGGTATTTCAGGACTCTGGGAGACACTGTTTCCTTAAACTAAGCAGCAGCATTAAGAAAGTAAAGGGGGCGAGGGCAGGAGGTGCAGGCCTTACCTCGCCGTCCCTGAGCAGCGGCGGGAAGTGGAAGAAGAGGGACTGGCCGAGAGACACCGTCTGGATGGGGTTGTCCAGGTTCTCACTTTTGTAGAGCTTCACCTGGAGAGCCGAAGCAAAGCAGGCTCCGCTCGTTAGAGTGAAACCCGGTAAACATTTCATTTCCGACATCCTCAGGGCTTCTCATCTCTAGGGGGATGGACCTTCAGAAACATGGGTATTTGGAAAAGAAGCCGTCCTCTCCTGACAGGGCACAGGCATTCCTGTCACCAGACCCTGGGTTCACACCCTACGTAGGAATCTACGATTCCAGAACAAGCCCGGACCACCTGTGTACTGGTCAAAATGGTGATCAGAGTTATTATGATGATAAGAGTAAAAATAATTGTCCCTAACCCTTGAAGAATGTCAAGCATACGGCAGGCATTAGAGAACCTCACCAACTCTGATGCCTCCTTATTGCCCCTGGGAAGACTCAGAGCACCTAAGCCAGTACAGCTGCTCATGAGAGCGGGTGGCCGGGACCCACATCATGGAGGGTCCTGCCCACCTTCAACGCCTGTCCTATTACGGGACCTGAACTACGTAAGATATGTTAAACTCGACGCATGCCACTGACTTTAGCTCCCAGGCAGCAGCTTCCAGAAACATCCGAGAGCTTTGATTCTGGCCTCTTTCCCGGTGGTTCCCTTCCTCACCACCACACACAGTGGGGCCTGAGGAAGAGGGAGACACAGTCCTGGCTGTCATCGAGGCTATGAGGGCTCCACCCCACCCCCTGCCACAGGGGAAGGCCAGAGACCACCCCAGGCGCCCTGCTGGTTACTTTTCTCGGTTCCACACAAGTCATGAGGGGATGGGGGTGTCCTAAAGTAAAAGCCACAGACTGGGTACCTACAGGTCACATCCAAGACCACAGATATGCTTTACTGCCTTATGTGCTATTTTACGTGAAGCTGAATTCATTGGTTACTTAAAAATCAGATTTTTTTTCAGCTAACTACAATTCCAAGCTTGTTCTGGAAAACTGGGAAATGATGATGTTTCCCAAGGGGTCACAGAGCACTGTATAAAATTTCCTTGTTCAACAGAGACATGGGGATTTTGGCAGAGATGAAAGGGTCCCTCAGAGGGCACTGAATCCAAGGTCCTGGTTTTACAGAGGAAGAAACGGAGGCTCCCAGAAATGGAGTGACCGGCCGAGACACAAGCAAGTAACTATTAATGACAGGAAAGAGGACTGACTGCCGGACTCCCCGAGTCCTCTGCCCAGCACCTCCGCAGCTCAGATTAGAAAGGAATGAGGCATTCCACTGTAAAATTATCTTTCTACTTTAGATTCTGGATTCACTGGTCATTCATCAAGCTTTGCACGATCTTCCAAAAATGAAGCGACAGTTACCTGAAACCGGGAGGCGTTCCCCCAACAACAGGCGCTCACATGGGGATGGAAGTTTAAGTCTTAAGATCCACTCTTGGCTAAAGCAAGAACTGGAAGAGCAAGGACATCCTGTTCCCGCTTATCTCAAAGCTGAAGAAGAAAAACCTATTGAATCTTAAAGAGCTGGTCTTACCCATAATGTAGGAAGATACTCAGAGGAAGTGATCACATTTCCACTCAAATCAAATTGGTTAATCTGCCGGAAAACTATGATGTTTATGTCATCGATGTCATTATTCCCAACCTAGAGAGAAACAAGAAGAGCTGCACCGTGGGGCTGGAGGGGGAACCGCTGTGCTGCCTGGCAGCCTTCCTACAGTGAGGGAGCAAGCCCTGTGAAACTGACCAAGTGCAAGGTCATGCACCGACGGCAGCGGTCGGCCCTGGCCCAAGACACACTGGGTCTTCTAAATTTTCATTACCTGACAACATTTTCAAAAGAAATTTCAACCACAGAACCAGACTGCTCAGCTTCTCTTGAAAAAAGATGAGCCTGCGGGAAGCCATCGGCAGGGCAAAGCCACAGCGGCCCCCGCAGAGTCGGCATGGTGAGACTCCAGAGGTCTCGCTTCTCCTCCACACCTGCCTGGCCCAAGCCAGAGAGCAAGAAAGGGAAAACTTTCTGCTGTGAGGTGCAGTCATCTGATACCATAAATGCACTTCCTAAATCAAAAGTCTTCCATGGCCCACCACCCTCCCTCCGAATGCCCACCATGCTGCACACCTAATGAAACCACCTAAATAACCCCCCAAGAAGCAGCTGGTCTCATTGCACCCAAGCCCTCCCATCTAGCCAGTGAGTTAGTCAGAGAGCAATGCCTGGGCCACTTCCCGTGACCCACAGGGCTGCGATTTAGCTAAGTCATGAACCTGTAGGTCAATAACTCAGCCTACTCAAAGGGGAAAAAGGTCACCTGAAACCCAGAAGACGGGGTGGCACCACTGCCACCTGAGTCCATGTTCTTGCTCTCCCTTCCCTGATCTGAGATGCCAACTCTGCTTTAAGTACCTCAACTTGCAAAGTGGGGAGTGGGGATGCGGCTCCTGGCTTTTTTGCTGCATGCAGCACAGCAGCACTGTTCTTTGAGCCCCGTGCAGGACACCACAGCACAGGGGACACTATCACTCAGGCTGTGAAATCCCCTCCACCTCAGATCCAGGGTGGACAACCAGAAGACCAGGGGGCAGTTGGGCTGGCATGCGCCTTACCTCGATCACGCGATGGTGGGGCAGCGCCCGCTCGATGTGGTCATTGCCTTCTGTCTTCAGCTGCACGTGGTACACACACCCTGGCTGCAAGGACACCAGTGTCATCCTCGAGAAGGGGCTTGGCTGTCACACCCACCTGACCTAAGCAGACCGGGAGCACTGCTGTGCCTTTGTCTGCATCTGTGGTCGGCCCACCTTCTCAGAAGTCTCCTTAAAAAGCACCCTGGCGACACACATCTGATGTCCTGCCATTCCTTCGATCCCAATTGTTTGACCTTCTACCCAAGGAGGATTATATGTTTTACTTCAAGACTAAATGCATAATTTGCCCTGACCCTTCTGAAATATTCTTTCCTCACTGCCCCTCTGTGCATGTATCAGGTGACATCTGGAATGTCACTCCAAAATGCTACAATGGATATTATTTCTGGGAAGTAGGATTTGAGGCCTTTTCCTTTAAAATCTTGTTTCTATTTACTTTACTACTTAGATCTGTAGGCACATTATCATGTTTACCAAAGAAGTCAATATACTGAACCCAGTGTAGAGAGCAGTTAACAAGATTCCGGTCTCCTACAACCAGGCACCCACTGATCACTGCCTTATGCAAGCACAGCAGCACAAAGGGCACACAGGTCAGGACCACGTCTGGGGACGGGGGGGGGGGGGCAGGCGCGGGTTCCTCTTTGCGCGTTCGCTTTTGTAAAAGGAAT